TATAGTTTGCGAAATGCAGTAAACGGTGTAGATGATCTTATTTCTCATGGAACAGGAATCTTAGATAATTTAAGATCACAAAGAATTACTTTAAAGGGAGCTCACAAACGTTTGGTAGATATTGGTAACACCTTAGGTCTTTCAAATACAACTATGAGGCTTATAGAACAAAGAGCTCGTCAAGATGGATTTATTTTATTCTGTGGTATGCTTTTAACATGCTTAGTGATAATTCTAGTCATTATTTACTTTACGTAAAGAAAGAGAGAGAGAGAGAGAGAGAGAGAGAGAGAGAGAGAGAAATAAGTAAACAACGAAAAACTTGTATGTTTATATACATGTTTGACACACTCCAACAAATATATTCAATATTGTTTTATCCAGAATATTAAAGTTTTGATCTTGATGTGAACCGTGTGTTAAAATTATTAGGAAAATTTCGATATAAATATGTATATATATATTTAAATAAATGAGACGAATTTAAAGATTAATGTAGTAACTTCAGACTGAAAGACATACACTCTATAATGATTTCACAATGTCAGCAATATCATTTAATTCCAAGCGAGACGTTCCGTGTAAATCTTTCTTTGTGTGATTCTGAAGGAGCCTTTCTCCCACTTCTAAGGGTTTACTGGTCGAAGAAGTAGAGAGGGTAAACCTCCAAGTCCCCTTCTCTTGATTCCCCTACCATAATTTCTACCATAACACCGTTTACAAACGCATCATTCTACGTTGTGACTGCTGACGGAGTTAGTGGTGTCTGATTCTTCTCGAGATAACATCTACGAAAAGTTTATTTATTCGCTTTAAAGCAGCAACTTGCCGAAGAAAATCGATTATCCGGCGGCCCTGGATGGGTTTGAATACAGTCCACGTTTTTTTATTTTATTCGTGACTAGATCCACACTCATCCAAGGATACCGGGCTTTAAATTCGATCTAATCATTTTTCAAATCGATTATTCCCTGATTAATTTTACTTGTGAAAAAGAACATTATTATTTATTATATTTTTAATATTTAATATATCAATTGGATTATACGAATTGTATATTAATTTCAAACAATACATCGAATTATATACATATTTCGAAGTTGATTTCGCTTGTTCCTATTATAGAAAAGATATATATACATACATATATATATATATATATTTATATGTATATTTTTTCTTTTACATAAAGTGAAGAAAAAAGAGAAAATTATATAAAATTAAAGTAAGATGTTGTACATTCTTACCAGGAGATCTAACACGTAAACGAAAGATTCTCACAACTCAAGCCGATGGCCGTGGGATTCCTTTCAGTTTCTTTGTGTATGAACACCTGCCGTGTTCCCCTCCAATCTTCTCCCCTTTCCCTTCGAAACATCAATCCTACCCCCTTAACCTCTCCCACCGAAATAACGGTAAAAACTTGCTTATATTCTTAAAACTTTGTACTACTATACTACGTACCTTCAAATAAATAATTTGAAGGACGATTATACATTTTACTACTTTATTAATAACTATGTATATGTATATATATATATATACATACATATATATACATACATATATATATATATATATGTATATATTTCGTGTAACTTTGTCAATCAAAATGTTATTTGTTTCATTGGAAAACAAAAAAAAAAAAATAAAAAAAAATAATCGATTATTAAATTTTGTTATGTACGTATTATAATATTAAAATGATATTTAAAATATCACAATTCTTTTGTCTCTTAATCCATTGTCGTTTCCCTAATTGTTTTTTTTTTTTACATAGATAAGTACATTAAATATGAAGACCTTTTAAATATTATAAAGTTTACAATATAATTTTCAAATATATTGCTAAAATGTTCATATATGTATATTACGAAAAGTTTTTTTAGAGCCACGCTCATACCTATTTCTTTTCTAAAATCTTCATAAAAGATAATAAACTATATTTCAGATATAATCAAAGTGTAAAAAAGATATTAATTAAATAAATATAATTGTATGATTGTATAATGAGGTATGAATATGGATCTATTTGCAAATGTGACAATTACTTATTCATTAACATTATATCAGATAAGATTAAATTTACAAAATATTAGGACAATATGAAGTTTTCTTTTTTTTTTCTTCTCAGATCATTATAATTTATATCAAGTGCTTTGCGATTCTAAACTTAATTGTGCTACAAGAGTGTGTTCTTCCTGAATATCAAAATCGAAAGACATATCAGGATCCTCTTGAATTTCCTCTAATGCACGTTTAATTTGTGCATGTAACTGGACAGCTACTTTTTTCACAGCTAAATGATTCTGTTTTATTTGTTTTGCACAAGAAAGAGCACCATTCCAGGACGAAGCACTGGTGTGTGCAAGGTAAAGTTCTTTCCATAATTGAATACTGATAGGTGCAACACTAGGCCAAATAACTCCAGGATTTGGATCATACAAAGGATTTAACCATTTTTCTAATACTTCTGGTTGATTCATGTAGGACCATAAGCTATAAGTATGTTCAGATAATTGAAGTTGAACTCTTTCTGCTTCTGAATCACCTATAAAAGTAATATATAATTAATATATTAAAATATTTCGAAAATTTGTATAAATTTATTAATAATATACCTAAAAATGTTCCGTATTCTGAACAGTAGCTATGTTTATACAATTCTATCAATAAATCCACCTTATATTCGAAACTAAATTGAAATTGATAATAAAGCTGGTAAAGACAATCGAGAAAAAGTAAGAATGTTGGAGCATGTGTTGGACTTTGAGAATGAGAAGGATGATATGGTCCATGCCGTGTACGAGTAAAAAATTGATGACCAGCTTGTAACCATTCTCGTTCTATAAGAGCTTGTAGACCACGTACGGTACGACAATCAGGATTTAATATTGCTTGTGCCAAACTTGTCACAACTAATGTTGAATCTCTACCTGTACTTCCTACAATGGACAAAAAAGAAAAAAAATATATATATATATATATATTTATCTGTATTATATTATTATTTATAACTGGTAAGAATATATTTATTCCTTATACCATGAACTAATACAGCTGCAACTTCCTGATGAAGACACTGAGCAGTTACGCAAGCAGCATTTAAAGCACTTTGAATGGCAGTTAACCATCCACTGCTTTCAAGTCTAGACAACCATTGTGATGTAGAACTATTTACATCATTACAAGCCTCTATTAATTTGAAAAAGCTGTCTGCTAAATCATGAGGCCGTGGCACCGCTTTATGCACTTTTCTCCATTGAGGATAAGCAGCATCCATTTCTGTACCACCACCCTTAGCTCTTGAACTTTGAGCTTGGGTAATAGATCTTGTATCTACTATATACCTGGCAATAAGTTTCCCTTCAATCATTCTAAATTGTAGTTATATTACTTTATGTCAATGATTAATACATACCCTCGTCTTCCAGGACCTAAAACTGCATTTAATAATCTTTCATCTTCTTTACATCTTTTACCAGTAGCACCGCACATTGGCTGACTACTACGTAATAAAACACTCTATAAAAATGAAATACGTAAAATTAAATATTTTTATGTTTTCTTAATTATAATAAAATAGCATTGATTGTTTTATTGTTACCCCGCCTTCATGTCTATAACATAAAACAGGAAATCTACCGCCATCTCGAAAACTAGCAGAAGATATTATAACTTTATCTTCTATGTGTCTAGGTACTATAACAGCTGATGGATAAGAGTTACAAACTTTGTAATCTATATTCAAATAACTGATTCTCCATTCATCTGCATATGCAGCCAATAATCTAGACCATTCTGAAACAGGAGCAAATGCTGTCCATCCATCTTCTATTTGTATTACATTTGTTGCTTTTGGTCTATAGAAAAAGGGATATTGAAGTGTTTGTTCTGTAAAAGTACATAATGCATTATATAATGACAATGAATGACATATTATATCATTAAAAATAATAGATCTAAATATAGCTACCTAATGATGCTAATCTTTCTATAGACAACATAACACTGATTAAATCGTCGGTAGAATTAATATCCAACTGAAGTACACGAAAATCTTTACATTTTAATATGATACTACCTCCAGGACTTTGAGTATTTAATTTTTTTTCTATCACATCGATATTCCTATATATAAGCTAAGAAAAGTAGGTAATATCAGTAACGTTTATAAAATGAATATAATATAATACTAATATTTATATAATATCTATTAATTTAATTTAATATTATTGATTTAATTTAATATTATTATAAAAATCTCACCCATAATTCCTGTTCATCACCTTGTCTTGAAGATAAGATAAGATTATGGCTACTAATACATAATGTTCCTTCCAAACTTTTATTATTACCATCACTTTTGTCAATTAATACAACATTGTCCACTTTCGGAATCAAAATTAAATGTCCACATTCCATTTTATATATAAACTTTAATTTTTATATCTATTGACAAATAATTGAAACACAAAGAAACACTTTGACAGATCAACATAACCTAAGAATGTTACAATAGATTGCTGTCAATGAATAATACACGTATATGATGAATCAAAATGACACTTCAAATAAAATAGTAATTTAAAAAATTTGTTTATCGTTAATGTATACACATTTTTTATATATTTCTATTCTAACTCAAGAAGGCATCTGTTAACTTTCTGTTTGTTATCGATAGGGTTTATAAGCTATCTATATTTATTGAGTTTCCATGTTCTCTGTGTGGTGTCATGAAATATCACCATATACGTGTTACGCGTATGTATGTGTTGTTTCGCAAGAGTATTTAGAATAGTCACGTGACTAATTCTTTCTCTAACCTCACTTGTCACTTACTATGTTTGTAACAGTGTCTTAAATGGCTTACAATATCGAATTAATTCAATACTACTTGTAAGTTAAATAACTTTATATGTATATGTATAGACACACCCACATACACATATATACAAGGAACATTTGTTCAATTGTTTATTTTGAGGTTATTTTGATGAATTATATTTCAGAAGTTATACAATCGATTACTTCGTAGCATTACACTGTATTATTTTAAAGAAGTCAACGAAGGATGACAATGAGGAGGATAATAATAAATATTTATATAACGATAGCATCTTCGATAATTACAAATATGGTATTATAAATTTTGTATAATTTACTAGATTGGACGTGTTTTTAATTTATAAAAACTCTAACCTCATTCACGGGGTGTTAACATTTCTATCGCAATATAATTTTTTTATGTAGAATTTTTTAAAAGAAACATTCTTGTTACATGATATTAATAACAATATTTTTCATTATTTACAGAATTGACAGGTTTCATAATTTTGAACAATAGTTATGAAGTATAAGTTTTAACGAAATATCACGTGACCAATTATCAATTCAATATAACGTCGAAAGATGGAACCACTAAAGAGGCAAAGTTGGCATATAGGAAAAGGAAAGAAATCTCTGGGGTAAAGTCGTGTGAGTTGGTGTTGTCGGTTTTAATTCACAGCTATCCATATTATGTGGTAGGTAATATATTTAACAGAATATAATTATCAATATTAAATTTATTCTTGGATCGACAAATTACTATAGAAATTTTCTAGGAAGTAATTGCTTTGTCCACATTTTTCATAACAAAGCACTACTTCTATGAGTATTTTTATACGCATACATATATGTCGGAGATATATATATGTGTGTGGATGGGATATATGAACGATTTGTACATTATCAATATATGTATATGAATATATGTACTACCTACCATAGAAATATACGTGGAACATTATTAAGTTTCATCATTTTTAATGTAAGTGCCTTTTTTATTTTCACTACAATACAATATTCAGTAATGCATAAATCACTGATTAGATATGTTGGTAACATATATCATGTAGCTGGTCTATTTTTTCTCAAGTATAATTCTATATAAATTCCTTTAGCATGATGTTATATATAATGCTCTCTGTAAATTTATAATATCTACTTTTCCAAAAATCGATACAGTTCCAACTAGTTTGTAGGAATTAGTGAATATATATGTACATGTAAAATATTTGTATATGCATTTATGGACGTGATCTAATGATATCAAGTTACACATATGTTTTCCTCTTACACAATAATTTAATTAATTATGTTATTTTATTATATGCTTTATTCTCATAACATTCTCTTATGCAAGATAACATGTTATGTTTTATTATTCACTTATTTTACATATTGTTATTGTTTTATATATCCAAATAAATATATATATATATATACATATCTAGATACTTATTTTATTAGACATAAAAGTATTTTTTAAAGATACATGAATTATATAATTTTTATTAATTGATAATTCATAACACATAAAATTGTAATGTCTTTTTTATTTGAAATATCAAGAAAATAATGAATTTTCATATATTCCCTCATTTAGTAATCTGTAAAAATAAATATGGATACCTCAACAAAGTTGAATGATGATACTGAATTAGAAACAATAAGCCAATGTTCAGTTTTGAATGAATCAAAAAATGATTCATTAGAACATACTCATCAAGTTGACGCTACAAATGTTGCTCAGAAAGAAAAACAAAATGTAGACGAAGTCAATGATATCAAAGATGCAATAAATGAAGTTGATATAAATGAAAGTGATTCAGAAGATATTGTCACCCCGATTATCGATAAGCAAGATAATATCGAAATAGAAGAAATAAAAACGGAACAGGAAAATGAAAATTTGACAGATGATACATCATCGAATGCAGATACTGTGAAAGAAAGTTGTGAAGATTCTACGACAGATACAACAGAAAATAATATTGATAATATAAAAAGAAAGCGTAGAACTTCAAGGTAATTTCTACATTGTTAAATCATTTTAATTCTTTTCATTATTTGGATATCATTACTTATTATAAACATTATTAATAATGATTTATAGTACACAAGAAAGTGCTTCACTTTCTGAAGAAAATGAAGTTAAAAGCAAACGAAAAAAACTGAAAAATGCAAATGATAAATATTGTTGGAGGTGTCACAAAGATTCAACAGAAGTACATTGTAGTGCTTGTCCGCGATCGTGGCATCGTAGATGTTTGGGGGGTACACCACCGATTTCTGTTCATAACTGGATTTGTGGCGAATGTGCTACAATATTGAAAGCAGAAAATGCAGAAACGCGTTCTGTTGCAATGGCACAATTATCAGTTGATCAATTATGTATGTTGCTTAAAAATGTAGTTCAAAGAATGCGTGAATATTCTGGTGTATGTATGCATTTAATTTCCTATTATATTCTTATTTTACTAAATTATTTTTAAACTTATCTTTTATTGTTTTTTTTTTTTTTGCCAATAAATTAATTTATTTTTCTAGTCCGAACCATTTTGGAAGCCTGTAGAACTCAATGAAGCTCAAAACTACTTGGATTATGTTGTTAAGCCAATGGATTTAAATCTTTTAGAATCTAATGTACGTTTAAAACTTTATGGCAGTACTGATGCATTTATGTCTGATGCAAAATGGATACAGCACAATTGCATTGTTTATAATACATGTACGTAAGATAGATTGTAATTATATACATATTAGATTGTTATGGTATAATCCTAATAACAAAAGTCTTCTACAGGTGGTGGAGTTTATGCTGATACATCTAAATTAACCAATACTGCAAAACAAATAATTAAAGTGGCACGTCAAGAGGTATCAGAAATTGAGGCTTGTCCTGATTGTTATGCACATTCGCGTAACTTATTTAGGCCACAACCTTCATGGTTTATCGAGCCTTGTCGTCAACCACATCCACTTGTATGGGCTAAATTGAAAGGTTTTCCTTTTTGGCCTGCTAAAGCTATGCCAAGATTAAATTCTCAAGGTTTTGTAGATGTCCGTTTTTTCGGCGAACACGATCGGGCATGGATACCACCTCGAGATCTTTATTTATATTCTGAATATCCACCTGTTCCATTGCCTCGAAAAAGAAAAGTAGATATGGACGAATGCGTTAGAGAAATTACCCGACACTGTCGTAAACTTGAGCTTGTATTTGGTAAATTTAAATTTGCACCACCGAAAGTACAATACAATCCGCACGATCCAATGCAAATAAAACTTATGCTACCAAACTACGATCCACTTCAACCAAATAATTGTACATCTTCTGAATTTTTGGTACCTAAAAAGAAGGCTGCTTTTCGAAAACGTAATCTTTCTGTCAAGGATAAATCACAAACTGAAACTTCTGCTATTGACTACAAACTTGATTCTGATATGATTGCTTCTGACGATGAAAATAAATCCCGAAATAAAACACAGAAATTAACCACTTCTGATCAATCTTCTCCAAGCTCAGACAGTAGTATTAATTTAGATATGCAGCAAAGTGAATTTAAGAAGAAATTGATTAACATGGAAAACAAGACGTCTATGGAAGATGTATCAGCAGAAGAAAATGAATCTATTAAATCAGATCAAAAGAATATCGATGAAACTAATACAAATGCTCATCTACAAAGATCTAATGAGTCTAATGTATCTGTATTAAAAAGTAATTTACATGATAATTTAACACCTACTGACCAAGTTTCAAAACAAAGTGAACCTTTAAAAATGGAGCAAACATCGAAGAAACATTCCATTGTAAAACCTACTGCCAATAAAAGTAATGTTACTGAAATTTTAAAAATAACATCTAGGCTCAATAAAAGTACTGCTAAAGTTTATAAACCAAAAACAAGGTTAGTTGACAAATTAAATGCAGAAAAAGCTTTAAAATCTTTTTCAGAAAGTGAACAAAAAAATAAAACAGGATTAACAAACAAGGAATCAATCGTTCCACTTACTCTATCTTTATTACAAAGTGACAAACACGATCTACCGAATAAAACAATAACAAATCCAACTGTTACGTCATCTGTTTCTACATTCGCTACCATATCACAAAACATACGATCTTTTGCATCATATTCAACATTAGGTCAAACAACACTTGTGACAAATAATAAATCGGTGGATACAGTACAACAGTCTACATTAACAGAGGGTAATTCAACAAGTAAAGAAAGTTGCACAATTACAAAATCAGGCTCAAAAGAACAAAAAAAGGAGAGCAGAGCAAAAAAATCTTTCTCTATCAAACCATCTGTTTATCCACAAGTTACACTTCATTCATCATCGAATACATTATCTAGTTCAACAGAATCTATTCCAACTCCTCAGAAAGATTATTCTATTGGATATCAATTACTTCCTCCAGAAGCTGGACCACTTAGTGCTCGTTTGTATCATGGTGCTGAAGAATTAGCAAAAAGAATGGCTCAGTTAATGGAGGAAGCATATAGAGAAGCTGCTCATAACAGTCAAAATTGTGAAGATGATACCACCGATGAGCGTCATGCCACAGTACACTTTTTACGATTACAGATTGAACGCATGAGGTGGCAACACCAACAACAATTAGCAGAACTAAAACACAATACTGGTATCTTATAATTTTTTGTAACATTTTAGCATAACAATTTAGTATGACAATTTTAATTTATCCTTATAATTTTTAGATCGTATGTTAAGAGAAATGAAAGCAAGTCTGGAAGCAGAACGGCTTCGAGCTATCGAAGAAACTCGTAGAGAAATAGAACAAGAAAAAATGAAATGTATCGAAGAGACAAAACGTAAACAATGGTGTGCTATGTGTCATCGTGAAGCATTATTTTATTGTTGCTGGAATACAGCTTATTGTGATTATTCATGTCAGCAGTCTCATTGGCCAACTCATATGAGAACATGTGCTCAAAAGCCTTCTTTTACTACAATAGTTACAACTACAGCCGTAGGATCAAGTCAACAACAGGTAATACCCAAGTTCATTTTAATAAATGTACAGCATGTATCATAAAGTATACAGAGCCATTGGTGTAAGTCTGTAATATTGAAAATCAAAAATACTAAATAATAAAATATTACTGTAAAGATACTTAGTATAATACCATTTGCTTTTTACAGTAACAGATTTCTATTTATATATTTCTACTGGCTTAACGTGTCAATCTGATAAAATGGGATTATTATTATTATAGACAACATATACTTTGCGATATAACGAAGAGAAAAAAATAGAGTTTATTTTTTAGCAAGGCATCACCTAAATGATTAATCCACAATAAGTCGTTAAAGTATAATATTAGTCTTTAAAAAAGATAATATAATTTTATTAATTCATGAAAATACTTCAACAAGTTTACAATTCAGATATATATATATACAAGACTTACACTACATATGCTCTGAACTTTAAAAATTTGGAAGTATTATTTGTAAATGTTCTCATTGCAATATCATTATTGTATTAAATGTTTTACTTTATTTTCAGAATATTAATACGAAAGTAAGTAACCCAGCGTGCAGAGCTTATTCTTTACCACATAATAAATCACCTGGATTATCAAAGTCTCATTATGTTTCATGTTCTAAAAATGAAGACAAATAAAATCTTTCATTATAGATGTCACGTTAAAACTATTTGCAATCAATAATATAGTTCAATACACATTGTGTAAACTGATTTTAAATAGCTATTTTAAATAATTTTGTCTAAATACATCTTGTCAATTATATATTGATATTAGCTATTAGAATAGAATAATCGTAGACATTAAATATTTGGTTGTATATTTGTGATGCATTAAGTCAAATATCTTAAAATTGAAAATAAAAGTAATTTTATAAAAATATGTATGTATGTAAATATTGGTGATTGAACAAGTATTTACTTTGTAAAAATGGATTTAATACGTAAAAACTTTATATTAATATAAAAATGAAAAGTTGAATAGTCTCTGAACAGATGTATTACTAGAAAAATTATGTTTACTATATACATATAGTATGTTAAGTACATCATAACTTCGAACTCTTGGAATACATAATTCGTAACAATAAAAAGTAACAGTAATTCAAAAATATATTACCTACTATTATTATGCTTATAACAAGCAACATAATAACATGTAAAAAAATTTTTCTCTACTATATGATTCAGAAAGGTAATTGGTTTTTACACAAAAGTAATTTTACACATTTTGTTATCCGGAGATAATTTTATTTACAAAATTACATGCTTATTTAGCTTTCTTGCTCTTAATTTTTCTCATATAGAATTCTAATTCTTTACCTTCGAGAATATAACCATCAGCTCTTCCACATTGACCAGGTCTACTGGCTATACAAGCTGCAATTGAATAAATATCGGTCAGATATATATACATATAAATTTATATAATAATAACGAAAAATTATTAAAGATATAATACCAAGAACTCGTCCCGTTGAAAATTGTTCTTCTAAGGCTGGTTCAACTTTGGCAAATCGTTGCCTTGCTTTGTACTTGGCTTCCGTTTTCTTCGACCGTTTCTTGTTAAGAACTTCTTCCTCTGCTTCTGTCTGAAATATTTAATTCCATTTTATTTCCTATAAAATATTCCAGAAATATATTCGTAGATCAAGTGCATAAATATAACTGATGCTTAACCTACCAATTTTGCACCTCGCTTGCGCCCCAATGGAAGAGCATAATGGCCTTCATACCACTGTCTGAATGGTGTGGCATCAATAGTAACAATTGCATTCTTTACAAGAGTTTTTGTACGAACTAATTCATTATTTGATGCATTGTATACAACGTCGATAACGCGAGTTTTTCTTGTGGTACATTCAGACCCCCAGGAGAAATTTCCAGTATCCAATCGAAGTGCCCTATACTTCTTATTTCCACCACGCGTGCGTACCTTATCACAAAAAATAATACGCATCAATTATGTAATTTAAAAAAAACAACAAAATTACATTGATTATGTATAAATCAGTTCGCTGTGGGAAAATGTCAACATAACTCTCAGAGTAGGTAAGGTGATCATCATTACTTAATAAAATGATCAATACAAAATTTAATGTAATAGACTTTTAAAAATTTATGCAGTTTAATAAACTATTCATATTTTTATCTGAATCTTAAACTTACTGTGTGAATACGTTGAGGTCCAAGTTTAGTATTTGCAGCTGGACGACCTAATTCAAACTTTCTCTTCTTTCGGATAGGCTTCCTCTTTCCACCAGTTGCTCTCCTCTTATGCCAATGATCCCGCGATATACCTATTCATTAAAAACATCTTCTATATACGTTTTACTTGAACATACATAAAATCTCATTACAAACTTCTAATTATTTTAATGTTTACACAATTCAATATAGTGTCATTTCTAACAAATTTTAAAACGTATCTCCAAATGCAGACGAGTAATATCGACTAACTTTGCATTAATATATATTTTTATATATTATAAAATATTGTACAAATATTTTGAAAAGTGGTTCTAACCATTAAAAGTTGATATAATTTAAACAAATATTTAGAACAAATTTTGAAATAATATAATATCGAATCTCTAGATTATCACATTATATATAAATTTTTCATATTTTGTAAAGATGTTTTTCACGGAAAATGCAGATGTAATTCGATAAAAACAAACTTTTGTAAAACCGAGAAACTCACCCATTTCGTCGGATTAAAAAAGAAACATAGAACTACTAAATGTCACTAAGATAGCTCTCCGTTTTAATGCTTATGCTTCATTCACATGTAAGCTATACGAGTACCTAATTACAATATGAATCCAATTTTTATTAAATAAACTTGACTCATAGAATCGTAATTAAATAAACAAATAAACTTTAAATTGTAAATATTATTAAATATGTGTAGATATATGTATATTTTACTTCGATAATTAATTCGTTTACTACTCACATTTATCAGAAAATTTCAACCAATAACTTGCTACTTCCTCTTTTTGAAATTCAATGAGATTAAAATTATTATTAAAATGATACTATTGAATGATGAGTAAATTATTTACTGTTAATTGAATTTAAAAACGATTTGCTGAAGGATTTAATCGAATATCATAGGATTTAAATTATATATGATATTTTCTTTGCGAATATCATAATTTAATCAAGCTTGACTATATTTCCGGGACTTGAAATTTCTCAGATAAAACTATGCATAGGACATATTTTGAATTGTAGGTTACCTACATTATTATCTGTTATAATTTGCCGGAATTTATAAGTTTTTGTAGTAAATAAAAGAAAAAAGATAATAATATAACAAGTAAAGAAAATGAGTACATTTTGGAAACGTATAAATTACAGAAAAACATTGTAATCTATACAATTGTATTTATAGAATTTTAATTACTAGCTAAAAGTATTCTATTGAATTTCAATCAGTGTATGTGTCGTAACTTTCTTATTCTATAATAATAGTATTTGTATAATTATTAAAAATTTTTAAACTATAAATAGATATTCATATAATGTTAATAAAAAATAATTTTAATGTAAAATCCCTTGAGGAGGAGTAGATTTTGTTCTCGGTGCCTTCACGAGTTGGTGATAACGAAGGTAATTGATAACAAGTTTGAGTAAACGTCTTAGCTTTCTTATTCATTGCTGATAGATTAGAATTTACTATTATAAAGTATGTATAATTGTTCAAACAAAAGCATACTTGCTTAAACATTACATAGCTATTAAAACATAAATATAAAATAATTTCGATCCAATATTTTGTTAGGTATGAATTTTATACCATTATTATATAAGGTAGTAACAAAAACAAAAAAAATTAAATTTGAACAAAATTTTAAATATAATAACCAGTCTTGTTTTTGCCTAAAGTCCATTAACTTTTGATGAGTAATTAGCACAGGTTTCTTATAGAATAAACAATTACTTTACATTCATTAAGAAATAATAGTTATTCAAATTTAAAATGTTTTTAGAAAGCAACATAATAATGTGTAATAACATTTATTTGCAATATGTGATCTAGAGAGGTAATTGGTCTTACATAAAAGGAATTTTACACATTTTATCATCCAGAGATAATTTTATTTACAAAATTACATGCTTATTTAGCTTTCTTGCTCTTAATTTTTCTCATATAGAATTCTAATTCTTTACCTTCGAGAATATAACCATCAGCTCTACCACATTGACCAGGTCTACTGGCTATACAAGCTGCAATTGAATAAATATCGGTCAGATATATATACATATAAATTTATATAATAATAACGAAAAATTATTAAAGATATAATACCAAGAACTCGTCCCGTTGAAAATTGTTCTTCTAAGGCTGGTTCAACTTTGGCAAATCGTTGCCTTGCTTTGTACTTGGCTTCCGTTTTTTTCGACCGTTTCTTGTTAAGAACTTCTTCCTCTGCTTCTGTCTGAAATATTTAATTCCATTTTATTTCCTATAAAATATTCCAGAAATATATTCGTAGATCAAGTGCATAAATATAACTGATGCTTAACCTACCAATTTTGCACCTCGCTTGCGCCCCAATGGAAGAGCATAATGGCCTTCATACCACTGTCTGAATGGTGTGGCATCAATAGTAACAATTGCATTCTTTACAAGAGTTTTTGTACGAACTAATTCATTATTTGATGCATTGTATACAACGTCGATAACGCGAGTTTTTCTTGTGGTACATTCAGACCCCCAGGAGAAATTTCCAGTATCCAATCGAAGTGCCCTATACTTCTTATTTCCACCACGCGTGCGTACCTTATCACAAAAAATAATACGCATCAATTATGTAATTTAAAAAAAACAACAAAATTACATTGATTATGTATAAATCAGTTCGCTGTGGGAAAATGTCAACATAACTCTCAGAGTAGGTAAGGTGATCATCATTACTTAATAAAATGATCAATACAAAATTTAATGTAATAGACTTTTAAAAATTTATGCAATTTAATAAACTATTCACACTTTTATCTGAATCGTAAACTTACTGTGTGAATGCGTTGAGGTCCAAGTTTAGTATTTGCAGCTGGACGACCTAATTCAAACTTTCTCTTCTTCCGGATAGGCTTCCTCTTTCCACCAGTTGCTCTCCTCTTATGCCAATGATCCCGCGATATACCTATTCATTAAAAACATCTTCTATATACGTTTTACTTGACATACATAAAATCTCATTACAAACTTCTAATTATTTTAATGTTTACACAATTCAATATAGTGTCATTTCTAACAAATTTTAAAACGTATCTCCAAATGCGGACGAGTAATATCGACTAACTTTGCATTAATATATATTTTTATATATTATAAAATATTGTACAAAAACTTTGAAAAGTGGTTCTAACCATTAAAAGTTGATATAATTTAAACAAAGTTTTAGGACAAATTTTGAAATAATATAATAACGAATCTCTAGATTATTACATTGTACATAAATTTTTCATATTTTGTAAAGATGTTTTTCACGGAAAAAGCAGATGTAATTCGATAAAAACAAACTTTTGTAAAACCGAGAAACTCACCCATCTCGCCGGATTAAAAAAGAAACATAGAACTACAAAATGTCACTGAGATAGCTCTCCGCTTTAATGCTTATGCTTTACTCACATGTACGCTATACGAGTACTTAATTACAATATGAATCCAATTTTTATTTATTATTATTTATTTCATAGTATTATTATTTTAAAGTATATATATATATATATATATATATATATATATATATATATATATACTTTTCTTCGATAATTAATTCGTGTATTAATTTAAATTTGTCATTAAATTTCAGCCAATATTTTGCTACTTTTTCTTTTTGAAATTCAATGAGATTAAAGTTACTATTAAACAGATATGAATAAATGATGTGTAAGAATTTTATTTATAATCAATTTTTAAGTTATATATGATATTTGCTTTGTGAATATTATTTTATAAATAATCGAAAATTTGCTTAAAAGCGCTTTAGCCGTGTGACTAAATTTAAATAGAAACAAGAAGTATAAAGTTTATAGAATTAACAAACATTATTCAATTAATATATTTTCAAATACTGTTTTCCTATTGGGTTTGTAATTCAAATTCTATCCGTATTTGTCGCTGAAGTCACATGGGCTACGAGCGATACATAATTAACATTCTTAAACTTGAAAATTTGTATCTAAGGACGGCGCGCATTTGAATAAAATTAAATTATTTAATATCAATGGGATTGAGAATTATTAACTTTATAATGTTTAAACAATTATACGATTATTAATTTAAAAATTAATTATGCTTTGCTTCTACATATATACTTTACATTATTAAAATGAATATTCTGTTGTTAAAATTTTTATTTCGTTCTCGAATAGATAATATAATATACATATATTATTAATTATATTATGGAGATTACTTTTATCGAGTAGATTGTTTAATAACAATATATAATTATATAATAATTATTTATATATATTTTATGGTTTCTAATATATTATGATTAGTCTAATGGAAAGTTTTACTTGTAAGATGTAATTATCGATCAATCGTTAATAAAATTTAGAAAAATATTTGCATAAATAAAATTAAAAATCATAGCTAACATTTCGTTCATTGATATAAACAATTTTTGTTATTGTTAATATATTTTATTGATAGTCTTCTATTATGTTCAAATATAGATGGCAGAAGTAGATCGTACAGGAAATATAATTTGCAAGCTATCGTGTATAGACAGTTTGGAATCAATCACATACACGTGTTGACATGTGCATTTGAGTAGTATATACAAATTTGAAATTTATTAAAGGTAAATAAATATTCGATATTTTTATAGCATTATTATATCTATCTATCAAATAATACGTAATATTTAATATTAATTCAATATTATATATGTATTATTATTAATAATTATTTATCTAAGTAGTATCATTTTTTGAGGTTAATTTTTCTTCGTACAGCTCTTACAGAATTACCCATTGTATTCTAATTATTCATTGATTAGTTGATAAAATTAGCGTTAACATTATTTATATTATTTATTCTTCATTTTTTTTCCAAATTTCTATAAAGATGTCGGAAGAAATGGATCATGAAACAATGAATGATACTGAAGATGAAAGTATGGATAATAGTAGCGAGGATGCGGAAAGTGAAAAAATTATAGAAAATGAAGATGAGGATCAGAAGGATAATAAAGTAGAATCAAAAGTGTATTTACCTGGACAACCTTTAGATCCAGAGGAGGAACTTATTGTCGATAAATCTACGTATCGTATGTTGCATCATGCACAATCTGGTGCACCGTGTCTTAGCTTTGACATAATATTAGATGATCTTGGTAGCGATAGAGAAACTTATCCCCTTAGCATGTACCTTGTTGCTGGTACTCAAGCTGCAAAGGCACATGTAAATAATCTTCTTGTTATGAAAGTGACAAATTTGCATGGGATAAAAGATATAGATTCAGAAGACGAATCAAGTGATTCTGAAGATGAAAACGATGAACGAATTCCAATTATGACAGTTGCTCCAATTAAACATCAAGGATGTGTTAATAGAATAAGGTAAATGTGTAAATATATATAATAAATATATGTATATATTTAATGTATAATATATAATTATTACATATTATTATTGGAACATTTATATAAAATGGGACTATAATAATATTCTTAGGTGTACACAAATAGAGCATACAACATTAGCAGCAAGTTGGAGTGAATTAGGTCGAGTAAACCTTTGGAATTTGAATGAACAATTGAAAGCAGTTGATAATACTGAATCACTGCTTTCATATCGTAAAAAATGTGAGAGATCTGATGGTGGTGTAAAATCATTGTTTACTTTTAATGGACATCTTACCGAAGGATATGGTCTTGATTGGTGTCCTACAGAAAAAGGCACATTAGCTTCTGGCGACTGTAAGGGTAATATACACATATGGCGCATCAGTGGAAGTGATACTAGTGGAACTTGGCAAGTCGATCAAAGGCCTTATAATTCACATGCACCGTATAGTGTAGAAGATATTCAATGGTCTCCTAATGAAAGAAATGTTTTGGCTTCTTGTTCAGTTGATAAAAGGTTTCCTATTAGTTATATATTAATATATATTACTTAAAAACATTAGTACATCTTAGTATTTGATAAAAATTTTTTTTTCTATGTAGTATAAAGATATGGGATACAAGGGTCAGTCCACAATCCGCGTGTATGCTATCGGTCTCTGGAACACACACTGCAGATATTAATGTCATTTCTTGGAATCACAAAGAAAATCAATTCCTTGTGTCTGGAGGAGATGACGGATTACTTTGTATATGGGACTTGAGAGAATTTAGTCCAAATGGATCAACTCCTCTTGCAACTTTTAAACAACATACCGCACCTGTAACAACTGTAGAGTGGCATCCTCAAGAAGCTACTGTATTTGCTTCAGGTGGTGCGGATGATCAAATCGCGCAATGGGATCTGTCAGTAGAAGTAGATCATTCGGAAGAATCCAAAGACAATGAAATAACAGATTTGCCTCCACAGTTATTGTTTATACATCAAGGTCAAACAGACATTAAGGAATTACATTGGCATCCACAGTGTCCTGGTACTATAATATCAACAGCACATTCTGGATACAATATATTTCGTACCATTAGTGTCTAAGGAATTTATAATCTTAATTATATATTGTCAAAATATTCAGAAGAATATACTTTTTGTAATTTCCTTTGTGCTTTTTAATTAATTTTAATGTAATTTTGCCACTTTTTTAATACGTTATCATAAGTATTACAAAGTGTTACTTATTCAAGAATAGAAAATTTCTTTCTCCTCTGACTCGTGTATTTTTTAGGTAAAACAATTGTTTAATATTATCTATTCATTAGGAATAAAGAAAATAGATGTCGTATTGTAGGTCTACCATGTGGACAATTCCAAGGGTTTTTCATTTGACTCATTTGTATTATTAATTTTTGCATTTCTGCATTATTTAATGCAGTACCGATCATAACTGCGCTACGACATGCTCTTGATGCTAACATTTGCCGAACTCGACTTGGACGAGGAATTTCAGAAGAAACTTTATTTTCTATCGCTCCTTCTTTGATTAAAAAAATTAATTCTTCTATATCTCCTTGTCCAAATTGCCAGCCAAAGCTAACCGGCATTCCAATTAATTCTACACGTTTTCCGACGTCATCTGAAAGAAAATAATTATTATTAATTATCAAATCTTTATAAGCCAAATATAGCTTTTCATAATGATTAGTATACCTCCAGTATTTATTTTAAATTCGAAACCATTGCTTTCGAATATTTCTCGTTGTTCTATGAGAATAGTTTCATTTAAAGATGAAAGGTTTAAAGGTTTAGGTATAATTAATTTTTGCGTTTTCAGTTTCGTCTCATTACTTAATTTTTCGAAACGAAATTTTTCATCTGTTGCATGCTGATCAATTATGAAAAGATCATTTTCCAACAGAGCTATAATAAAACCTAAATTGAATTGCCCTATAACCTCCATCTGTAACATAATATATCTTATAATTTATATATTAAATTAATAGAAGGAATTAGAATGTCAAACTTGATATTATTATAATAACCTTTGTAAACGATTCTTTAGTAAGTTCTCTTTGTAGTTCTTTCTCAGCTTCATTATTCTGATCAGCTTCTATTTGTACTTTGTACTTCAAATTTACATTTTTAGTAAAGTCATTCTTAGATGCTTTCTTTTTTTCGTAAAACTTTTCTTTTACTTTTTCTATATTGATAGGTATTTCAATGTTCAATAATTTTTCTACAACTTCATTATTTTCTTCAAAAACATTGTCTACCTCTATGTGCGCTTCTTTCTCATTATTTTTTTCAATATTTTGGGATCTATGAAAAAGTTGTATTCGTTTTGCTGGTGGATCCTCATGAGTAGAAGAAGCTATTCTTTTAAAACCAAAATTTAATTCTGTCAAGGTTTTTACAGTAAAATTTCCTTGCACGGACTCCCATTTTTTTATCAGATTAAATTTAACAGAGGCTAAAATTATTTTTTCATGTGTGAACAAAATAGTTCTTTTGTCTGGTGTAACATTAATATCAGCACATTCTTGATTCAATTTTAAATTTAAAAATATAAAAGGATATTGTTTATTGTTATATTTATGATATATATGATTAATTAATTTATTTATTTTTGCAAGATCGCAAGGTCGTCCATTTACATAAAAAAATTGTCTATCAGGAGTAGAACGACCACAGGTATGATCACAGCTGCTAACGTAACATTCCCAATCAAAGTCTATCTTGGAATTATTTGGTAAGTTGTATTCTTCTAAGGTTGTTTCATCAGGCGGTTGTAATTCAATTTGAATCAAACTATCAACAGATTTTTTACCAAAGACAGCAATAACATTTTTAAGAACACTATCCGCATTTGCCGTGCTTACAATAAGATTAGAGGATTTTCCTGAGATTGTATTTGTACATGATATTTTTGCATTAACGGAAACTAAACAATAACTGTATAATATTTGAATAGTACGTGTATATTCCTTTTTTATATTTCTATGAAATTCTTTTGCTCTAACTGGAAGATTTTTAAATATATTTTTTACATGAACTGACGTTCCCTTTTCTCTAGCATATATTTCTTTCTTTTTTAATAAACCATTCCTATCAAATTCCAATTTGAATCCATGTTCATTAGTCAAATGTCTGGTTACGATACTTAGATCACCTAATGCGCATAATGAACTTAGAGCTTCTCCACGAAATCCAAATGTATTTACCTCTGTTAAGTCCGAAAATTCACGCAGTTTAGATGTATAATGTTTTAAACCTGTTTTGAATATATGAAAAAATTAATATTTTTTTTTTTAAATTATGAATTCTTACTATATTTAATCATTGACCTAATCCTTCAAAATCTTGTTCTTCAACTCCACTTCCATTGTCTGATACAGTTATACATGTTTTTCCATAATCTGTTAGCTTTACATCAACAATTGTAGCTCCACTGTCCAAACTATTTTCAACTAATTCTTTTACAGCAATTGAAAGATCAATCACTACCTATACGATTACATAGCTCTGCGTTAAAAATATTATAAGACTGATAATATAAATCAATTCCTTTTTTTTTTTTTCAACGGTTAACCTTACCTGTCCAGAACAAATACGATGTATTGTTTCTTTGTTTATCGCCTCGATCTTTTGCGATTTTTCTGTTGTTGCAATTGGTTCATACATTATATTTCGATATTTAATAAAAAGAAGTTAATTTTGTAGATATATCTTTTACAAATCTTTCACTTTCAGTACGACTTAACTTAGAAAACGACAGCACGAGAGATGCCGAGAATTTTACCGGCATAACTACAAACATTATTTATATTATATATTTTTCGAAAATTTTTTAAGTTTTATATTTATTTTTTTTTTTTTTATTCTTTCGTCGGTCTTTTGTAATTGATTGGACTTCTCCCGCAAAAAAGTGTATTTTTTTTTATAATATTCAATTTTATAAAAAAATTAACATATTAAATATATGGCTATTTTTCTATTATCGGAAACTTTATTTATAATGTTTTTGAACATTGCTAAATCCTTTACATATATCATACACTAAATTTGTATTTACATTTTGTTTTATAGATCTGATCTGACACCAAATCCTGGTCCTGGAGGTGGAGTTTTCAAGGATGTTAATCCACCAGCTGGATCTGCAGCAAATCTAGGTGAATTTTGAGGGCCAGGTGGTGGTCTTTCACCTTTTCTTAATGCATTTATTATTTTTGCCGCAGTTTCAGGAGTCAAGTCTTCCTATCAAGATAAATAAAATCAGATAATAGGATTGTTTTCTTCCTTTTTTTTTTCTACAATAGAATTAGCTATCTATGAAAAAGGAAAATTTATAATCACTTACATAATAATCATCATTAACTTGGAACATTGGTGCATTGGCACATGCTCCTAAACATTCTACTTCCGATACTGTAAATAATTTATCTTCAGAAGTACCACCAAGTTTACAACATGCAGCCTCGGTTACAGCATTTACTATAGAATCTGAATCTCGTAACCAGCATGGAGTACACGTACAAATTTGTATATGATATTTTCCCATTGGATTTCTATTAAACATTGTATAAAAGGTAGCAACTTCATAAACACGCATACGTGGTACATTGAGAATCTCTGCAACTTTATGCATAGCGGAGAGAGGTAGCCAACCATGTTGTCTTTGAGCTAAATCTAATAAAGGTATCATCGCACCACGTTTGTGACCTTCTGGATAAATTTTGAGAAGAGCCTCGATACGTTTTTTGTTTGCTTCATTAAACTCGAATGGTGTACAGGGATTATTGTATTCGGTATCTCTATGCTACAATTTAAAAATGATATTACGTTTGATATAAAATTCTCAAAAATTTAATAAAAAATATTACAACGTACACTGAACAGCTGTTCGGATGCATGGTTAGAAGACGTTTGTATTCCTCTGCTTTTTGTAGAAGCCTATAGAAAAATCGGATAATAAGTGTCAAACAATAACAATTATTTTAATATGATTCGAAGGTTACATAAGGTGCAGTTGGATTATATTAAAAAAAAAAAAAAAAAAAAAAAAAAAAAAAAAAAAAAAGAAGATTAATAATTTGAAAAATAATAAATCTTTTTATATATAATTACGTACTAAAAGCGTACGAAATACACGAAGAGATGTTAACATATTTAGAGAAGTTGAATACATCCAGGAGTATATTAATATTTTGTTACTTTGTCAATTGATGTTTTTTGATAGTTAGTTAACTTAACCATAACCGACAGCAGATGGCGTACGGTACGAGTTATTTTCTATATATATTATATATCTTTCTATTAAGAGTAAAGTAAACAAATAGTACGCAATATGCAATATTAAATGCTTTAATTACTCTCCGAAAAAACGATGAGATTAAATATGTTAAATTCATAGAATATAAATAATGACAAGTTTCAATAAGATTTTTAATCTCTTGCGGTATTTCGAGGCGCTACCATTATCGTCTTTTTTTTTTTTTTACTTCAAAAGTATTTATTCATATGTAATGTAAAATAGCGCGTTAAAAGTTTAAAAAGTTAAGAATATCAGTTGTTAGAAATATGCATTTATGAAGTCACGTGATACCTGTAAGTTAACGAACAGCCAATCAGATCACGGCAGTTCCAAAACTCTTCTCCATTTTCGCGGCAACAAGGCAACCATGTCGGTTGCCGGTAGAACGAATGCAGTGATCCCGACATTTTTTGCTTTTCCATTTTCAACAATATCAATTTTTTCATCTAGTCCAAGAGAAAAGCGATCCTAGAATAACAGGTATTGTTGTCTAATATTTTTTAAACGATATCAATATCTTCTTAGCATTTATTCGGGTGATTTCTTGACTCGCAAGAAAATGTTCTTCCAATGCATATAAAGTTGGAATAGTTTGAATTTTTAGCTCATAACTCGCGTTGAAAAGAATTATTTAAATCGCAATAAGCATAATTTCGTTTAGTTATAGATTACGTGCAATCGATTAATTCGATATTGATATAGGTTGATAGAGTAAAATTTTTCAAAAAAAAAAAAAAAATATATATATTGTCGAATTGTGTTATAATCATTGTTTCGTTTCTTCGAATTCGTCAAATAACTCCAATGATGTTTTATTTTAACGATTTTAATCTTATAAGAAAGTCAGTTTCCGATGATTCGTTGGTAATGTTGGTCTGTAGATCTACTTTATCCGATAGACGGTTTGATCCATGAGAATGACACAATGCAATTATCGATAGGGTATTATGATAATGCAGATTTCTTTTTTTTTCGTATTACTTTTTAAATCAATCAGTTCATTAGTTACAGTCGGTAAGTTTAGCAATCATTAAGTCTCTCCATTAAGCACGCTACGTGGCGTTACCGATATCAAAAAACGATAATATTAATTTTTTTTTTTTATTCATTTCGCGGAGATAGAATACTCATTTTAATTGGAATATTGTTCAGCGAATAAATGAAGTTAAAGGGATTTTAGATTTTCTTTCATACTCATTGCATTTTATTTCTCGTACAACTAGTCACATTTATTACATCACAATACACAACGGTACATCTAATAATTTAATCGCGTCTAAGTTTCATGTGTGGTACAGTAGTAGCAATCGATATAATAATTTGGAGGTATAAATAGCACACTTAATGTGACATCGCGTATATTCTACGATATATTGGCATGATTGGAAATCCTTTAACATTCGTTTCCTTTTATTCGTGATGCTCTAGCGATCGTCAATCGAACGAATAATAAATCGTCGAATATTTATGATAGAATTAAAAAAAAAAAAAAAAAAAAAACAAACAAAAAAAATCCATGGAACATAAATCATAAAACATAAAGCGTATCATCGCGTGTTAACGAATGGTTCATCTATTTAAAAATAAGATAGAAATCTTTATTTCCCCAAGGGGAGCAAAGAAAGAAAAAAAAAGAAATAACGAATGAGCGAAGCCAAACGATCGTTAAGAAGATCTATGAGAAAGTATTATTATAAATCGACGATTTAAAATTAAAGTGATCGCGCACCTTTTCTCTTCGGTCTTTTTATTTTGTTACTAACTGTCGCCAGCTAAACTGCGAATATACGATATAACTTTTTTTTTTTCCTTTTCTTTTTCTTGAATCTTAATCTAAATAGCGTTATCTTAAAGTTGGTACATTTTATACATGTAATTCTAGCGTAGACGACGGAGACAGACAATCGGATCTTACACGGTTCTCTTTTTTATTTCTTACTTTCCATTCTTTCTCTTTGAACGGTCTCGCATATTTTCATCTCGCGTCGCCTTGCAACCAGTCGCACGTGTCGCATATCGCATATAGCATTCGAAGCGAATCACGAAGATCGCAAATCTTCGATACGCATTTTGCCCCTAAACGATATACCTTTTCTCGATCGTCTTTAGAGAGCAAGTAAGTAAGTACGTGTGAGCGTCGCCGATCGAAAGTAGCGTTTGTCATTCTAGACTTTCTCATTATAAGCGGAGGTACATGTAAACACGCTTATGTCCTTCCAAGGAAACACGGGCTTCCTTCTTTTTTTTGTTCCTGGCACTAAGAAAATTAACGATCGTCGTGCTTAGGAACTTGATTTTATCGATTATCGAGGATCGATCTTTAAATATCGTCATCGATGATATCGGATCTAAATAAGCGCGTCTCTTAACGATATATCAAGAATTTTTTTTTTCCTTTTTTTTTTTTCTAAAAACCCGCCAAATTTTCAATATCTTCTTTATCACGTAAGTTTGAAGAATGCATACGATCGATCATGAAACGGGCTGATATTTTCTCTCGTTTCGACGCGTCGATCCATCGATCCGTGGAACGGACGATCGCCGGCAGTGATCGATAAAGGCAGTGTAGTTATATTATTGCGACGCGCTTCTTCGGCTGCTTAGCCTCTCTACCATTTCTTCTCATCTACATACATAAGTAAGTCATTAATAATACATAATATCAGCTAGAAAAAGGTCTTAATAATTTATATAGAAAATTTACAAGAAAATCTACATTCAACGAACGCGTGTAATCATTATTTTTTGTTTTTTTTTCTTTTTCTTTTGTTTTTGTTTCCTTTTTTTTTGCGTATCTCTGTCGCGTGTGTGTATGCGCGTGTATATGCAAATACTTGTATGTCCATACATCTGTCCGTATATATGTATGTATGTACGTGTGTATCTGTCTGTCTTTCCCTCTGTGTGTGTGTGTGTGTGTGTGTGTGTGTACGTGTACGTGTACGTGCGTGCGTACGTGTTGAGCGTAGGATGTTTCGTGTCGTGTCGTGTCGACGCGTTATCGTCGTACGAGCGAAGAAGAATAAATAAATTAAAAAAGAAGAGGCGATGTAGGAGACGGAGTAGGAGGAAGGAGGTGGGCTCGAGGAAAGGCCTCGGGGCTAGCGTATATGGAAGTTTTGTGCCATTTACAGTCGTCGGTCGCACGGTCTTATGGAATTCTCATGGTTTCGCCGCCGCTCATCCCTTTTATTCGCATTAACGCGAAACGAAAGGAGAAGTCGATCGTTCCAATTTATTTACGGAAATTAAACTTACCGACAATAGTTAAGTAACACTTCGATTTATTCGAGACATTTATATCGTCAAAGATATATGTATGTATGTATGTATGTATGTATGTATGTATGTATGTACGTATGTATATACGTATCTTTAAGGTTTCTTAACTTTTATCGGTAAAAATGTATAATGTTGTGTTAAACGCGAAAAGATCGTGTCTTTGGAATCGCGCGAGTCGCGAGACGACACGAGGAGGAAGCGATTTTTTGTGGCTGCGAAATGTCAGCAAGCGGAGGACCATTTTGGGGCCCTCGTAATCGTGGCTCGTGTCCAACGTATATGTCCAAAGCCGACGGTTCTTCGCTCCTTGAGCCGACAGCACGATATGGCTTTGATGATAATATACGACAGCTAAATATATTCTGTGCCTTGCGCTTAACTCTTCTCGTTTCACTAGCTTGTCCACTTGTTTCTCTCTCTCTCTCTCTCTCTCTTTCTGTTTTTCTTTTCTCTCTTTCTCTCTCTTTCTCTCGCTCGCATTCATTTACACACGCATTCATTCTTTCGGGTCGCGTGCTTGTTCATGCTATCTCTCTTTTTTTCTTTCTTTCTTTCTCTCTCTCTCTCTCTCTCCCTCTCTCGTTCGCACGCTCGTTTTCGACAGAAGGGTTGAGAACGACTTAAGGCGAGACTGCCGCTACTACTGATGATGCTGCTGCTGTTGATGCTTCTGCTGCTGCTACTATTGCCGCCGACACCGCCGCGAGTAAATCAAAATTTGAAGCGTCGAACGCGCTTGAAACCTTTATCCTTATCTTCGATAATCAGTAGTGTCTCGAATAATACCGGCACAGGGAGTGCGAGATAGTTAATGGTATGGTGGACATCGAGCACGGAAGACGTACGATTATCGATACTCGCGCTGGAAATATAATCGAGCTGACGCGCGAGTACCGATATTCGCCTTGGCTTGTTTTCCTTTTTTTTCTTTTTTTTTTTGTTTTTAATTTTTTTTTGTAATTTTTTTTGCATTTTCTTTTGTATATTTTTTTTTGCTTTTTTTTTTCCTTTCTTTTTTTCTTTCTTTCTCTCTCTTTCTTATCGTGGACCGTAAACGGAATCATCGCGAGCGTTCGCGAGGTGTGGGAACACCGATCGATACTCGGGCGGTATTCGCGATTAGAAAAATCAAGGTAGCAGGCTCCTCTATAAAGGCGGGTGGGGCGAATCCTTCATAATCTTTCTTAGTTCTTTTTCTCTCTTTCTCTCTCTCTCTCTCTCTCTCTCTCTCTCTCTCTCTCTCTACGTCCTCGTATGTGCCGATGACTTGCTGCTCCTTCAATGGCAAGATCTCGCTCTACGTTGGAAGCGACGCATTCGACGATGCCATTCGTCGCGCCACTCGATGACGATCGATCTCTGCGTCACAGTGAGACCACCTTGACCTCCACCGTCGCTCTCTTGGCCGAGGATCAAGTACGATCTATGGACATTATAAGAATCAATGTTTTGTTTTCAGGATCTTCAACTGTTCATTCCTTATATATATATATATATATATATATATATTATTACTCATATAACTTGCGAATACTCACTTGTTGGGTTTTATCTTGGGGCATCTGCAGGCCAAATCTGCGGAGTGCACGTAGAGCGGTACGTCGCCGCGTCGAATCCTCGAGTTTGGAGTCTTTTTGTATATAAAATCGACGTTCAATGTGAACCGTATCCAAGATGTCCCAGAGACGCTACTACCGCTTTGCGAACCATCGCTCTTCTTGTGCCTGTCCGTTATTCTTCCAAGTATAGCTGCAAAAATGGACAAAAAAAATTGTTTCGTATTAACAAACGATATTTGATATTTCCGAGCGTTTGGCTTGTTCGGTAGTTTCGATTTTCAATGAAATGTTATATATATATACCCATATACATATATACATACACACATGTTATACATATGTACAATATATATATATATATATATATATATATATATATATATCGAGTATTTGGAAGGAGGTCGTGGTCTCCCACAGACGAAGGGAAAACGTCTGGGGAATAGGGTTGTGGTTTGCAAAACAGCTTTTGCTTTTATTTCTCTCTTTCTCTTATTACGTTCGTATCCATCGATCCTGTCGTTCACAGGACAGAGATACTATTAGCCTTTCGCCAAGGACCAGGGTCATGGCCGGTGCGTTCGTCGAAACCAACTTAACATCGAGCGGTACTTTCGATCGAACCATTCATTACTCGATCAGAGAAGAGAGATGGTTGACTGAAAGGATCGACGTATGGTACTCTCACGTCCTTTCGATAACGGATCATATTTTTGTTTTACAAGCAATAATGTTAGTTTTCGAGTTAAGTAATATATCCTCGTACGTTTAAATGAAAAACTTTCGTTACTGACCTTCCCTCTTCGTTTCGGATCGTTTTACGCTATTTTCGTGATGTTCTCTATCGGATTTGCTTCCGCAAAACGACACGAAAGAGAGAAAGAGAGAAAGAGATAAAAAGAAAAAGAGAGAGAGAGAGAGAGAGAGAGAAAAAAAAAGGAAGAATGATAGTACGTCGTGTGGTCGTTTCGGTTTCTATTCCAAGACGGAGACAGCTAAGTGCAGACCTGTTGAAGATTTATCTGTGCTGAATCAAGCAAATGGACGAGAGAAGGAAGAAAGAGAGAGGAGTATAGAGAATGAGGGATGGTGAGAAGAGAGAGAGAGAGAGAGAGAGAGAGAGAGAGAGAGAGAGAGAGAGAGAGAGAGAGAAAAAGAGAGAGAAAAAGAGAGAGAAAAAGATGGAGAGGGAGAGCAAGCTTAAAACCGTGGCCCGGCGTACTGGACCACAGCTCAAAAGCATGCCTTTCTATTATTGAAAGTCCTACCCGCTAAAACGGCGAGCCTTTCACTTTTTTTAAACGAGCCGCCTTGCACACACCACCATCGCGTCATCGTACGAATGAACGAGGGAAGCTCAGGAAAGGGAGAAGAAAGAGGAAGAAGAGGAGGAAAAAAGGTGAGGCAAATCGTCGAGCCTGACCCATGTGTAGATCACTCATACTTAGGGACTTCTTTTCTCTTTTCTCTCTTCCCTTTTCTCTTTTCAATCTCTTCTAGGAACTTTGACCTGAAACCGACCGTTCTTTTTTTTTTGTTTTTCTTTTTTGCTAATACATACTCACCGTAATCTCTTTTGCAATATTTGTTCAGATTCAGTCTCTTCGTGCTAGCTCGACACTTTCCACATTGATCTGCAACAGAAACGAGGATAAAAATAATATGCAAGAGTGTTGATGATGTGAATGAATTTGATTAGATTCATAGAGAAAATTTGAAGGAGCTTAAATAAAGGTGATAGTAACGATTTAAACACATCGTTAAACGCATCCAACGGTGTAATGTCTCTCGGTTCGTCCATCGAAATGATACCGGCATTAACCAAGATATTTCATGGCAGTATATACAAGCCTTATGAATGAATAATTTGCATCCTAATGAAACATCGTGTACGATACTAAAATTTGAAATCGCATATTCATGTTTTGCCAGAGGCACGAAAATTCTCTATCCTTCGAAGTGGAATGACGATGCTCTTGCTCGGATATAAGCGTTTATCGTATCTACGAAAGAATAGTTTGAGGAAATGTTTCCTCGATCGTAAATAATATTTGCGGGGTTTTTTCTTTTTTCTTTTTTCTTTCTTTCTTTTCTTCTTTTTTCCTTTCGTGTCTGTATTAGATATATATATATATATATATATATATATATATATATATATATGTATGTATATATACAAGGATATATGTAAATACAACCGAAGCCGAAAGTGCATCGGTCGTCGTGTTGTAGTCGTCGACGTTTAGCTTCTCGCAAATTCCCGAGGCATTCGTCTGGTCCGTCGTTCGCCCTAACCATCGTATTATCCACTTCGATGCACTTGGTGCCTCCAAGCAAGGAAGACCAAACGGAGTTCTAGAGGGAGAAGAGGAACGAGAGGGAGGGAAAGGACAGGTCGAGTGTGTACCGGTTAAAAGCGCGGTAGGAGAAGAGACGGATCTCTTCGCGTGGTACCTTGTCACGCGATGTCGGATGCATTATGACGTCATAACAACGACGACGACGACGGCGACGACGACGAGGACGAGGACGACGAGGACGACGAGGACGACGACAATGAGAAAGAAGCTGGTTAACATTAATAATTACATATTGTCGAGTGAAATGATTTTTTATCGACTTAATTCTGACAAAACTGTTACATCTTAGACATATTACATATTAGAAAATGAAATATTAGTTCCTTAAATAAAAATTTACTTCGATTGATAATAGTTAATAGCTCATTTTGTTATATACATACATGCATATGTATATATATATATATATATATATATATATATATATATGCATACATACGTACATATGCGTACGATACATCACCGACACTTAGAGATTACTTCAGCTTGTCTCGTCTCGCACTTGACATCGACCATTATCATTCTCCCCGGTGCCATATCTATTATCTAGCCTCGGTTATCCATCTATTATCTCGACCGGCACGGTCAGCGTATATAATGCGACTCGGAGAGCGAGACTCAATTAATTCTACGGGATATATGTTACGGTCCTGAGTTAGCGCTAGTTTTAGATAGAGACGAATGAATAGGGGAGAGGCGACTAGTAGTAGTAGTAGTAGAAGAAGAAGAATAAGAAGAAGAAGAAGAAGAAGACAATGCTTTCACGTAGGAAAGACGAAGAGAGAAAGAGTGACACGTTTTTCCACTTCCTTATAGCTTTTTAAAAAGAAATGATTAAAAGCGTTAGGAGATAATTCTTTAAGTGGCTTTATTGAAACTATTATTAGATGTAATTTTTAATGTCCTTGATTTTACGTCATAATATTTATTTGCGATACAGAGAGATCGACGAAAGGAAAGGAAGATAGACTTGAAAGATATGTAAAAGGACTCTGAAGAAAGATTATTTTTCGATGAGAAACCGGTAACAAGTCGGCGTGTGTCCAGTAAACTAACATCGTTTACAATTTCATCGAGTACGAGCAGAAAATATTCTAGGAGAATCTCGAGATAAACGTGCGAATATCATTTACCAAGAAGAGTTTGTTAATTATCGAAGAGGAGAGAGAAAGAAAGAGAGAGAGAGAGAGAGAGAGAGAGAGAGGGACGTTGCACGCGAGGTGGACTCTTTTCTTCGTTTCTCTTTTTGTTTTTCAGTGCGCGTTAACTCGCACTCGCATATATCGTTTCTCGCTAAGGAATCCGTAATAAGCGTCAAAGCACGAGAAGCATTTTGCGCGGCTCGCGCTTCGTTCGAAAAGATTCTACGAGACGTGACAAGGTAAGAGAGAGCGAGAAAAAAGAGAGAGAGCGAGAGAGAGAGAGAGAAAGAAAAGACAAGAAAGTATACAGGAAGGACGAAGAGGACCAACACAAGGTTCTTCGTGTTCGAGTCGAGTTGCTTGAATAAACCGAGCCGAGGTGTGTACTTACACACACACGTGCGTTCCATCTCTACGCTGATTGCGTGCAAAAGCATTTTGCAGGAATTTCATAATTATCGTTCGACGCTTTCGTGGAAAACCCAAGTTCCTTCTCTTTGTCCAACTTTCTTTTATTCTATTTCTCTCTCTCTCTCTCTTTCTCGTTCTCTCTTTCGATCGTAGTTCTCTCATTGGTCTCTCCTCTTCCTCGTTCTCTTTCATTGCTTTTTGCCGCCTATCGTTTTAACACGCTCGATGGTTTAGCGAGTTAAACAGTCGTACAATTTAGAGACCGAGGCGAGAAAGGAAGCACGCACTTTTCTTGTTTTCGTAGCTATTTATTTCCCTTCGTCATTCTACTAGTATCGTTCTAGCCGTGTAATAGGCACTCTCTATAATTTTGCTCCGACCGCGAGTAGTGAACATCATCCCGTCGTGGGAAAGCGTATACATACATATATATATATATATGTATACGTCTTGACGAGGCCGTTATCCTTGCTGGAAGCAAAGCCTCTACCTGATAATTATCACACGTTTTGGAATATAATAATTGATCGTACCATCGAAATCACGTGCGAGTCGATGAAAAGGATTGTTCATTATCTCTTTTTCTCTTTCTCTCTCTCTCTCTCTCTCTTCCTCTTCCGTTCTCTGTTAATTTTAAATTTCTAATTTCTTCGTATTCATTTCGTGAACGAGAAACGATTAAAACGTAATCTTAAACGATCTTATTTTGTAAGGGAAATTTTTTTTTTTTATTTCTTTATGTCGGTTAAAAGGAAATCTATGAAAAAAACGAATTCTAGTGTCGATGCATTTTATAATACTCTATGGATGAGATAATAGGCATTACGACTTCCTCCTTAACTGGCTTTATGATACCAAAGTTAGGATGAAAATCATTCGAGTATTCATATAGATCGTCATTTCCTGCATGAGCGTGCGTGCGTGCGTGCGTGCGTACGCATGCATCGTACAACCAGGCGTATCCATTCATGAGGTGCTTCTTTGGACGAGCCGCCATTCATAGCGCTTCATTCATAAGCTTCGTCAAATTTATAGGACGTTTAAAAGATTTATACCGAACGTGTATCTACATATTTTAATTGTAGCACCTTATAAATTCGCACGTTGGAGGTATGTATCTTTGCAATTTGATCTATCATGCGAAGTCGCAAAATAGCTGTCATAAATAGTATCGTTTCGTAATAAACTGTCTTTAGAAATCAATAGAAATGGACATTTTATGGTTTACTCATCTCGCTCTCTCTCTCTCTCTCTCTTTCTCTCTCTCTCTCTGTCTGTCTCTCTCTTTCTTCTCTATCGTACGATCGTGGATCTTTTTTTAAAGGCGTCGCGCGTCGGTCTCGAATTTCAAGGCTTCTTCGGCGAAGAGAGCTTTGCCAACGGCGGACGTAGATTAATCGCGCGTGGTACGATGGTGTTTTCCTTGGCAAGATACTCCGTGAACATCATCGGCTACCAAAACTTTTCGAAGGCTTAACAAGAATTTCGTAAATTCCCGTTAACAGGCGCGCTCTCTTTATCTTTTTAGCTCGCAAAGAAAACACAGATTTAACTCGAAGGCCGCACTTTACGCTTTAGTCATTAAGAAATTTTCAATTGCAATGGCACCGAGTTTATATTTATTATAATAATGTATACTCTCTTGTTCTCATTTTACTTTCTTCTTCGAATATTTATAGTATCCATTAAAAATTGCAAATTCGATTCTTCTTTTTCTTTTTCTTGATTGATTCTTCTCGACGTAAGACGCAAAACTATAAATGTCCATTCGTTCTATGAAATAGATGATACGTAATCCGAGATTCATGGAGATGTGGACCCTCCCTATCGAATGGACCGCGGAGATGAATTACGAGTAAAGTAAAGTGATTTCAAAGCAATCTCCTCTTCTACTTCCTGCGCTCGGAAGTAGTAGGAAACTTGCGATAAGGTACCACGATTTTAATCGACTCTGAAAGCTATCGTCGTTCTATTTTTCGAATCCTTTTTCTTGCAACTTGTATAGAATCACGTTGGAAAAGTGATGAAATTTTACATAACTCGCGTTAAAAATTCCTGAATTTTCTCTCTCTCTCTCTCTCTCTCTCTCTCTCTCTCTCTTTCTCGTTATTCACAAAGAACACCGCGTTAATCCTCTCTGATATTCATAAATATAATCTCTTTATTCCAGGAACGCGTAGAGGAAGAGCAAAAAAGAAATATACGAGAACAGAGCAGCCTCCTACATCTACAACCGAATGAGTTTCTTCCACGTCTCCCAGGCTTCTCCGAAATCTTTCCTGACTGCTTCTGGATTTAGTCGGTGAACCGTCACACACCTTGTCCGAAAAACGTCTCCCAAAGGGATCCATGCGTAAGGAATATAAAAGAATATATTTCCATTTTTCTTTCTCTCCCTTTCTTTACTTTTTTTTTTTTATATAAGTATGCATATCTATACTTTGCAAGTAGATTGTTACTTCTATTCTACGGCCTTGAATCAGACAAATCAATTTGTCGATTCTCTTTTATTTCTTTCAAAAACTTTTTCCCATTTACGTAAAGTAACGACATGATTATAGATGAAATATAATTTTCTTATTAAAGATATTCTTTTCTAGCGTTTAAAATAATCGATGAATAAAAGAAACGTAGTATCGAGATAACGAAAAAAATGGGCATTCATACGTACGAAACGAGAAGGATCAGTTTTGAACGTCGAATTTGTCGTTGTCACGCCCGTAGAAACGTACTTCTTTCGATCGTCTGCGGTGGAGAAATCCCTGATTTTCGGAGCGTAACACATCGGATTTACGTGGGCCGATCTCGCTGATTGGAATGTCCCGAAGCGCGCGGTGTGACAACAGAATCGAAAAGCAGTTTCATGTGTCGAGCTTTGCTATCGTATACATATATACATATATATCGATCGATAGGACGAATCGTTCGATCGGAAAACGTCTACCTTATACGCTTTACACTGCATCGATCCCGTTCGCGTTCGCGTTCGAGCCGGACGCGAATTGGCACGGGTTAATCGACACAAAGGGCGTCTCGTTAGCTGGGAATTAAACGGATTATGGTCTCGGTTCTCTCTCTCTTCTCCCTTCCTCTCTCTCTCTCTCTCTCTCTCTCTCTCTCTCTCTCTCTCTCTCTCTTTCTCTATTCTCTACTCTTTACCATACCGTTCATCCCTTCGCGATCGATTCGCGTTTACGAGCATGCTGCTCTCGTTGCCACATCCGCCCTGGATTTACGTGTCACTTTCGTATCTATGTATATACATACGTGTGCTTCTCTCTTCGTTGGCTTCGATCTTGTTAACTTTTTATTTTTAGAGATTATCCCAAAGAATTTATACGTTTTAAGGACGTTAAAGAAAATGGTTTGCTTTGAGTACGTTTACCGGAATCGATTCAAACAATGTGCATAATCTTGTTTTTCTTCCACAACTTCGACAATGTCCGAACGTTATTGTGGAAGAGAGTATAAAGGATGAGTGGATAAACGCGGAGCTTCCGGATTTGGAGAAATCGAGTAGCGGTTTGGTAGGAGTTCGCTACGGTCTATCTCTCTGATTTTACCACTCATCCTATCCGGAATTGGCGAAATTCCGCGCGGTAGTTCCGCTTGTAGACGAACGTGACCGGTTGCGGTTCCATGGCCACGGAATTTTCGACATTTTTATTCGATAACTCGTAGCTTCGTGGTCGTAGAATCGGCCGGGGAAGCATCGATTGAATTTCAAACGAAATTCAAATTACGTTTAATTTGGTTAGCCGCCACCATCGAAGCGGAGCTCGTGAGATAGATAGAGATAGATAGATAGATAGAGAGAGAGAGAAATACAGAGAGAGAGAGAGAGAGAGAGAGGAGAGAGGAAGAGAAAACGGCGTAGTATATCCTGCCACCGCTACCACCCGTTGATGCTCCTATTCCTACGGCTTGCGTGCAGTTCCGGTCTCTCTCTTTCTCTCTCTCTTTCTCTCTCTCTCTCTCTTTCCATCTCTTTCTATCCTTGCGAGGGTGAGTTGTAGGGATTCTATTATCGACCTCCATCCAGAGTTCATTAAAGGATTACAAAATTTACAAACAAAATGGTGATTGTTAGAATTTGCGTGAATCAAAACAAAGATAATAATATTTACTCATACTTGATTTTCTCTCGTTCCGCTTTTTAATCGGGAAAGAGAGAAGAAAATAAATTTGCGAGTAGAAAAGAAAAAAGGAAAAAATAAATCTTTCAAATTTTTATCGTACATAAGCTCTTGTACAGTGTTAAAATTCGAATCGAAGAAAGATCTTTATTTATTCATGGGTATGTGAAATAAATTTATTCGACGATTCGTTTTATTAGCAGTCTACTGAAATGATGAAGAATTAATCAGCTACTCTTCCTTTCTCTTGATTCCAAGTTTCGATATAATCTGATCCTGAGAGTCGTTATAACTACCGTACGTCTTCAAATTATTTATGTCTCTTCATTACGTGATAACGTTGCTCTAACGCGTTATCAGCGTGTTCGCTTCTAGCTGTCGTAGAATAGCCAGGAGCGCTCGTTAGGAGAAATCAGAAGCGACTGTCGCGAAATAAAACGCCGTCGACGACGACTATGGTGTTGGCGGGTGGTGGTGGTGGTGGTGTTGGTGATGTTGATGGTATTGGTGTTGGTAGTGGCTGCTGCTGGGAAACCATTTCTCGTTTATTACTCCGTTAAGGGCTGTCCGGAAACGAGGAGCGCCAGGGTTGCGTCAGTTTTCGTCGTTGAGAAAAATACGGTGAGATCGTGAGTATGAACGAAAAAGGGAGAGAGAGAGAGAGAGAGAGAGAGAAAGAGAGAGCCTGTCCGACAGTTTCTCGTCTACCGAAAAGGAAGTTGGGGGACAAAAGAAGTTGGCGGACAATCGAACGGCTCGAACGGAATTTTATGTTTTTTTCTTTCTTTTTCTTTTTTTTTTTTTTCTTTTTCAAACTTTTCGCTTTACCTTACCCGCGATTTTAAATGATATCAGATAACTCTTTGAACGTTTTTGCATTGGAATACGCGCATTCACGGTAATGAAATGAAATATTTATCTTGGATGATTTTCCGAGACGTCACTTATTCCAGCGTTCTTTTTTCATCGAAAGAAAATTTCCGGTGAGCTCGCACACGGAAAGTCAAGATCGAAGGCGAGTGACGGGGTCGCGAGAAATACGAATCCTTATCGCGACTGGACCCGCCATTACCCCGGGAGTCGTGTAGTAGGTGCTACTGTCACGGTCACTATCGACACCGCTACGTACCAGTACGATCGTACGCTATCGGCCTTAGAACGATAGTAATAGACCAACGGTAGACCGTAGTACCGCTTCGTGTCTCTGGTAGCTTGATATGCCGACGAGACAACGATATCGGTATTATACATACATATAGTGCATACATACGTACAAACATACACATACATATATATACCTATACTATATGCTAGAAACTTTCAACTCTTTACAATACGAAGAGAGAAAGATTTTTATAAACTAGGTTTTTTTTCGAGAACGAGCAAACTCTATTTAACTTATTATTTATTTATTTATTTATTTATATATATATATATATATATATATATATATATATATATATAGAGAGAGAGAGAGAGAGGGAGAGAGACAGAGAGAGAGAGAGAGCGAAGAAGAGGACATTATAATTCCACGGAAGTCTCGTTCCGATGCCAGAAGCCAAGTCTCCTTACTTCATTTGTCGAAGTAATTAAATTCCTGTAACTTCCCGAAGATGTTTGCCGAGGACGAAACTTTTGGTTCGTAGTGTATGCACGAGGTGACGTTAGGTGGCTGTGTAAATAGGTATATCCGAGCGCCTTCGCGTTATTAGAACGTCACGCCTCTGGCTGTCTCATTAAAATCCACCTTGAGGATCTATGGACAGGGCTTGCCGGGAAACAAGCTCTCGTAGAGAGCAAGCGAAGAAGAGAGATAAAATGAGAGATAGATAGAGAGAGAGAGAGAGAGAGAGAGAGAGAGAGAAAGAGAGAGAAAGAGAGAGAAAGCTCCGATATTTCATGCTCCTTTCCCGTCAACGATTAACAATCTTTCGAACCCTTACCGCGTTAGTTTCGCGACGAACGCGATACGCGTATACCTTCCTTGTCACTGCATGACGCACCAGGCCATAATGAAGATAAGCTTTATATTTACGTTATTACGATGCCTTTAAAGATGCTCTAATGAAAAAATTTTATTTTATATTTCTAAGATTAGAGATGAACACGCTCGTCCATGAAAACTATACGAGTTTACGAGAGAGATACTCGCGGAATGATGAAATTTGATAGAAAAGGGAGATATATTGAGATTCACTGTCACGAAAGGAAACTACGAAAACGTCGTTTTCTTATACACACACACACACACACAAAACATACACACACATACATTGCTTCACGGAGTGTAAACTCCAAGTGTTTCTCTATCTCTCTCTGTTCGGTAATACCAAGATGGTCCTCCCTTGGGATCAGCCCGATAGCGGTAGAACGAAGAAGATTTAAGTCCGTTTCCCGGAATCCCTCTGGTCCGAGACAAATAGCTCGAAATAAGGATACGAATGTAAATCGAAGAAGGAGATCTCGATTTATCGTTTTCGGTGTACCACCGACATCCAGATAAATTCGTAACTCTATTGGAAACTTGGTGTCGTCGTTCTTGACTACGATGAATCTTTCGTCGTCGTCGTCGTCGTCGTCGTCGTCGTCGTCGTTGCCGTCCTCGGTGTCACCTGATTGATGTAGGACAAAAGTGGTGAAAAAGAAAAACGTTCTTCATCCCCCATTCTTCTTTCTTGTAGAAAATGCGCATAAAGCTTAAAACGAATGCATAAGGGGGGCCGGAGAGAGTTGGGTAAAAGTTAGTAAACCTAAAAACGTTTTAGTTCGCCGAAAAAAGCAACCAAGAGAGAGAGAGAGAGAGAGAGAGCTCTACGTCATGCAACGTTCCATTAAAATATCTCGGCGATAACCATATTTTTTAAGCTTTAACGCAACATCCTCTTCCAATGCATATCCCTTTGTCTCTCGTCTCGTCTCGTCTCATCCTTCTCTTTCCTGTTAGCGGGACACGTAGAGAGTCATGCAACGCTCTTGCGACACGCTGCCATGGTCGTAAAATAACGTCTTAATTATAAAAGGGTCTCGGTACTACGGTGTGTGCCTTACGAGGCATCTTAAGTATCTTATAGAGAGCGAGTGGTAGGTACCTTAATGGGCGCGTGGGTGCTTGCCAGCCGTGACAGCGTAGAGAATCTACGGTTTTTCGTGCGACTGCCCTTGAGACTACTCTTTTTCTCTTTTTCTCTCTTTCTCTCTCTCTTTCTCCTCTCTCTCC